CTGAGTTGGAAGGGACCTTAAAGATCATCCAGTCCCACCCCCTGCATGGGCAGGGACACCTCCCACCAGCCCAGGCTGCTCCAAGCCCCATCCAACCTGCCCTTCAACACCCCCAGGGATGGGGCAGCCACAGCTGCCCTGCCCAACCTGGGCCAGGATCTTACCACCCTCACAACAAAGAATTCCCTCCTCATCTCCAATCTCCATCTCCCTCTCCCAGTTTTCATCCATCCCCCTCATCCCATCCCTCCCTGCCCTTGTCCCAAGCCCCTCCCCAGCTTTCCTGGAGCCCCTTCAGGCACTGGAAGCTGCTCTAAGGTCTCCCTGGAGCCTTCTCCTCTGCAGGCTCTGCAGGCCCCAACTCTCCCAGCCTGTCTCCAGAGCAGAGCTGCTCCAGCCCTCCCATCATGTCCGTGACTCCTCTGATCCCTTGTTTCCTTCTCAGATGTGTTGGCAATGGGGACAAGCTAGGGGGGTCGGATAAGCTGGGGACAGGGATGAGTTGGAGATAGGGACAATCTGGGGGACAGGGACGAGCTTGGTGGTCCCCAGGCTGCTGTCACCACTAGATGCTGCTCTTGGCCAGGGTCTCTGGTCCAGCCCTTCCCATGGGCTTGGTGCTTCCCAGGAGGAGTATCTTGGACGTGGTTGATCTGGAGTAACCTCCTTCCTCCCCTTGGAGCTCCCAGGCCTCCCCCTTGTCCTTCCCATCCTCCCTCACCCCATAGCTGGGCTGGACCCCTCCCTCTGAACAGGACAGGACACCCAGAGACACCCAGGAGTCTGGTAGCACCTTCAGCCTGGAGCAGAACAAGGGAACAGGGAGAGGTTTGGGTAACAGGAATCATGGTGATGGGTCCTGCATGCTTCCTCTGCAGGACAGACCTCGGGGTACAGTTCTGGGGCCTCGAGGTACCATTCCAGCCTCCCAGCGTCCCACGGGCAAGAGGCAAATCTGTATGAGGAGCCACCAGAGCCCTCAGCCGTCTATGAAGAACCTCCTCAGGTTGGTCCATGGGGAAGATGGAGGACACTGGGCCCAGGGACTGGTTGGGATCCCCCTGCTGCACCTGGGGATACTGCCCTGTCCCTGGAGGCCGGGGAGGGGGGTGGAGGGGAGCAAGGATGAGGGACCTTATTCAAAACCTCCTCACCAGAGCATTTCTCCTCCTGCTTTGCATGCCCAAAGCATGGTGATTCATGATATGACCCTCAGATTTTCTGGTGGCTGATAGCAAGGTTGTCTTGTGCATCCATTGTAGATGTAGGGACCCTCTGGTTTCCTCTCCTCTCTGCTCATCCATTTTCTGTGGTGCCTCCTCCCTACCCCAAAACCAGGGTTTCAACCACACTTCATTGTCTGGTTCTTGGATTCTCTGGGAAGCACTCAGCTGGTTTGAAGGAGGTGGGATGGGCTGAGCCATCACCACAGCTTTTTGGAACAAAGGAGTAAAAATGAGCCACCTCAGGTTCCAAAATACCGATGGGGGAGACATGCCTGGTTCTGGTAGTGATGACCCAGCAGAGCCCCCAGAGCCCATGGTTTTACTCCACGGGTGTCATCCAGGACCTCCTGCCCATGGTGGGGCTGATCTGAATCCCACTGGTCTCCTCCATCCTACTCTATTTCTCCCCCAATTCCCAGGCAATTAAGGGGGGGGTTGGGAAGCAGAAGAACCATCAAATTATTTGGAAAGGACCTTAAACCCCACCCAGTCCCACCCCCCTGCATGGGCAGGGACACTTCCCACCAGCCCAGGTTGCTCCAAGCCCCATCCAACCTGCCCTTCAACACCCCCAGGGATGGGGCAGCCCCAGCTTCCCTGGGCAACCTGGTGGGGCTGATCTGAATCCCACTGGTCTCCTCCATCCTACTCTATTTCTCCCCCAATTCCCAGGCAATTAAGGGGGGGGTTGGGAAGCAGAAGAACCATCAAATTATTTGGAAAGGACCTTAAACCCCACCCAGTCCCACCCCCCTGCATGGGCAGGGACACTTCCCACCAGCCCAGGTTGCTCCAAGCCCCATCCAACCTGCCCTTCAACACACCCAGGGATGGGGCAGCCCCAGCTTCCCTGGGCAACCTGGGCCAGGGTCTCACAAACCCTCATGGTGAACAAATTCTCCCTAATCCTTTTCCTACCCATCTCCTTGAAGGAACATGCCGACAATGCCAAATACGACTACGCAGTCGAGTACCAGGGGCCACCAGAGCTGATGGGGAAGGGGCTCTGTGCCCGGGCACTCTATGACTACCAGGCAGGTAAGACCCAAGGAACTCCAGCTTTCCCTCCAGACTGGGTTTACTGGGCCAAATCTGGTCCCAGAAAGCATGGTCCATCACACCAGGCGATCCCAGTTTGTCTTGGAGGGACCTTAAATCCCATCCAGTCCCAACCCCCTGCATGGGCAGGGACACCTCCCACCAGCCCAGGCTGCTCCAAGACCCATCCAACCTGCCCTTCAACACCCCCAGGGATGGGGCAGCCACAGCTTCCCTGGGCTACCTCAGCCCAGGTTGACTATCACAAAATGGTTTGAGTTAGAAAAGACCTCCACAATCACAAAAGTACACCTGCTCACCCAGCACTGCCTAATCCCTACCAACCCATGTCCCTCAGCACCATCTCCAGGGCTTAGAAACCCCTCCAGGGATGGGGACTTCCCCTGCCCTGAGAAGCCTGGGCCAGGGCCTGACAACCCTTTCCATGGAGAAATTGTTCCCAAGATCCAACCTCAACCTCCCCTGGGCAACTTGAGGCCATTTCCTCTTGTCCCATCACTTGTTCCTGGGGAGCAGAGCCCGACCCCCCTGGCTCCAACCTCCTCTCAGGCAGTTGCAGAGCAGAAGGTCTCCCCTCAGCCTCTACCCTCTCTCCAGGCTGGACACCCCCAGCTCCCTCAGCTGCTCCTCACAAGTTCTCCAGCCCCTTCCCCAGCTTCCTTGCCCTTCTCTGGACACCCTCCAGCCCATCCATGTCCCTTTTCTGACCCAAAACTGACCCCAGGATTCAAGGTGCCCCCTCACCAGTGCCCAGCACAGGGGGACAATCCTGCCCTGGTCCTGCTGGCCACACTGCTGCTGACACAAGCCAGGGTGCTGGTGGCCTTCCTGGCTCATGTGCAGCTGCTGTGGCCAGCACCTCCAGGTCCTTTCCCTCAGGCACTTTCCAGCTGCTCTTCCCCAAGCCTGAGCCTTGCCTGGGGTTGGTGTGACCCAGGTGCAGGACCCGGCACTGAGCCTGGTTGGACCTCATGCAGTTGCCCTGTACCCATGGATCCATGTCTCCCTGCTCGGGGTCCCAGTATCTCCTGGTGGTGCTGGAGGGGTTCAGGTTGGGTTTAACACCCTCCCTCCCTCTACCTCCTTCCAGCTGATGACACCGAGATCTCCTTCGATCCCGAGAACATCATCACCAACGTCGAGATGATCGACGAGGGCTGGTGGCGCGGCTACGGCCCCGACGGCCACTTTGGCATGTTCCCAGCCAACTACGTGGAACTGATCGAGTGAGAGGAAGGAGGGGGCTGCTCCACCCCGCGGGACCACTGCCCCGCCCCCTCTCCACTTCTCCCCCATCGTGGGCGGCTTTTCTTTCTTCTTTATGCTGGTTTTCTTTTGTCCTCCAAGCCAAGTGCCATTGCCCGGCTCCCTCGGCACCGGCTCCTGTCCCCCATCCCTGGAGAGGGGACAAAATCCCACTGTCCTCCCTCCCCTCGCCTTCAGAGCCTGGATTCTCCTCCAGAGAAAAGGAGGGTGGTGGGGTGACAAATCGAGGTGACAGATCATGGACATGTTCCGGGGACACATTCCCTCTTCTGACCTCGTGGCCACCACGAGGTCCGAAGGCACTTGCTCCATTTGGCCTCTCCAGGTTGATCTGAGCATCCCGGGGGGAGCAACATCACCCAACTAGCCCCCTCCCAGGCACCCCTCCGTGTCGCCACCGTGGGGCTTCACTCTGCCCTCCCTCCCAGTTCAAACCAGGGTTGAAACCTTGGGGTGGTGGGAGCTGGAGCAGGTGGATTGGGGGCTTTTTTTTTTTTTAGCAAAATAACCCCCAAATAAACCTGGGAGTG